AAAATTTAATGTATTTTTCATAAAAATTTATGAAATTTAATGTACTTTTCATAAAATTTTATTGAAAGTACATTAAATTTCATAAATTTAATGTACACGTTCATTACATTTAAGTAACTACTGTAACTTAATTTTCAGTTAAATCATTCATTACTTTTAATTTCGTTCATAACCACGAGCTTTACATGTAAAGGAAGCTCGTGGTTACATTTCTAACAATGTACGTACTCTAACGGAAATAGAAATAGCAGTAAACTTCCATAAGGCGAGTTTCAACCGGTTGAAATTTGCCTTATTACGAGGTTATGGATAAATTTACTGTTATTTCCATTTCCGTTAGATTACGTAATCTAAAGCAGTATCCTGATTGATTCATCAGCTTAAGTTTACGTCTTACGCATACTGTTACGGAATTTTGTGTGCAGCAGTCCTTAAGACCTTAAAACCCATGGCACATACAAAAATGTAAAGCAGTGAGACGTAAGCAGTAAGAAAATCGTAACATTGGATTTATTACTAGCCTTACAGTCTCTACTGTGATTAGCCATTTACTTACCGCTTGCTTGTTACGTTTTTGTATGTGCCATAGGCTTAAGAACCATGGCACAAAAAAATAAGCAGTAAACGAATTGATTACAAAGTCCGTAAGGCCATAAACGTAAGCAGTAACCAATCCAACATGTTGATTTCTTTACTACTTATGTCTTACTGCCGTTTTTGTGTGCCATGGCCCTAATACGTGGTCTACAGTAAGCAGTAGCAATAGTGGATGAGACGATAAGAGTAAGAAATTGACCAATCATAGTCGATTATTCTTCTTACATTCGATTGGTCAATTTCTTACTCTTACAGCCTCATCCACTATTGCTACTGCCATTGTAGATCGTGTATAAAGCGTTGTCTACAATGAACAGTAGCAATAGAGGCTGTAGACACGTCGGGAGTAAGCTGGTTTTCCGGCCCAGTCAGAAATGATTGATCGATCAACGTCAAATCGATACTGATTCAACGTCGCTCGACGTCAAATCGATGTTAATTTAACGTCGATCGATGTTAATTCGATATTGATCGATCGATCACTTATAGCTGGAGATGTAATAGGGCGTAAAGTAAATACGTAAGCGAAATGGTTGATATCTATTTTGCTGTTGGTAATAAACTGATAATAATTTTTTTTCTGAATAAAATTTTTATTTTTGTCAAATTGCTCGTTTTTACTCAATACTAACAAAAAGGGTGGCACACAGTTGGACACGGCTCAATTGGACACGAGTCACTCACAGCGCTTGAGACTACAAAGCTCCTAGACACCTGGTCGCTGTGATTGGTGGTGTCTAATCGAACCGTGATTAATCGGGATCACCCCGTTCCAAATCGGGCAACCAGAAAAAGCATTTTTACATTTTCCATTATAGTTCAATACAGGTGAGAGATACATCTGAAAGGTGAGAAAATGATCTGAAGCAAAAATGAAGGGAATTAAATGATCTTTCCAACAGCACCTTTGGTTTTACGATCGGACTTTATTTACGTCTTATAAAGAGCAAAAACTGCAAATAGATCCAATTTACCTCACTCCCCTATATACCGAGTGTTTAAGACCACCCGTATCACCCTTTTATCTTCACAGGATAAGGTCCAATCGTAAAAGTGTTCAGACAAAACTTGTAGGGTTTAAAAAGATCTATTTACTGATCTTATCAGTTTGACCTTAGGTGGCGTCGCCAAGATCAGGACAAGGTCACGTAGTGTTTTTTTTTTGTTTTTTTATGGAACATTTCATTTTTTATTCCAGAATTTAATAGCTGATAAATGTCGAGAATTTTCCAAAACACTATAAATAAAGTTTTTTTCATTGAGTATTTTTCAAGTTATAAGGCTCGAAAGTTACAGTACCGCCGGCATTAGCATTACGCGAGGTGTCTGACCGACGGCTAAAACCTCTTGTTCAGGATCATGTCCTGGATAACATTTATCAAGATCAGGCTCATGACACTCGATAGTTTCATGTAACCCCCTAATGCCCGTGTCACACTACGCATTGGAGATTGAGGATTGCGAATTACGAATTAGAATTCGACCAATCAGGTAGTTTTAATTTTAATCCGTTTCATTCTAATTGGCTGAATTCTAATCCTCAATTCGCAGTCCTTAGTCTCCAGTGCGCAGTATGACACGGGCATTATTGTCCGAAATCCGCTGGGGGCGCTAGATAGTAACTTAGTCCGCTTATACAATACAGTCCGGTAGAGTCCCTTGTCGCGACGCGATGCAGTTTGTAAGAGAATAAAAAAAAAACGCCTTTTAATAAATACTTTATCACTTAGCTACATTTAACGTTCAATCACGTTTGACCACGTACGGCAAGAATAGGCAAAAATAACTAGTGTTCGGAATACCGGGCACCCGCCCGCCCATCAATCATTTGTTGCACACGGGTTAAGAGCGATTCCGCGAGTACCTGTATCACACGGGTACCCATGACCCGCATCATACAAATGCTTACTTCGTGGTTTATATACTATGTGTTAGCTATTTTGTTATATTAAATTATTCGTAGTATGATCCATTAGCCGTTTCATGTGAATACCCTCATTGCACGGGTACTCGCATAAAACGGCTAACGCGCGCGCGCGCGCGCGGATCATATTATATTATGAATAATTTAATATAACAAAATAGCTAACACATAGAAATATTAAAAAATTTATAAAATTTGTAAAATAATTATTATAATAACACATTTTATTACAAAATTTGTGAAGATAAGATAAATATTGATTAAACAATTTTGCAAAATAGGAAAAAATAGAAATAAAACAGAAAATTACAAAAAAACTGTCAACAATGAGAACTCATACCCCGACAAAAAAGTTTTATATCAGAACGTATACGAATATTAATAAACAATATAAATATATAAATATACAATTACAAGAAATGTGTCAATTATATATGTTAGCTTCTTCCTTTTGAAACATTTCAGTCCGACACAAAAAGTAATAATATTGAGAAAATATGAATAAATTAGAAGAACAATTTTTACAATTCACTGTTACTAGAATCAAGTTTGAGAAAATGAAAAAAAATTGCCATATTTACATATACATTTTTAATTGTCTACATGTATACGTGTGGTTGTGTGCGCGCGCGCGCGTGTCGCGTGCGTGTACACGATTACATGCGGTTAATTTTTTCATTTTTCAAATTTAACTTTTTGTAAAGGAAACAATGCGAAGATTTTATCCTTTTAATTATTTATATTAATTATTTAATATATTATATTAATATTACGTCGCCTCTTAATCACTATTTTTTGGTATTAAACAGAAATTTTGCATACACGCGCGCGCGCGCACGCACGCACACAACCACACACGTATACATATAGAGAATTAAAATGTATATTATGTAAATATATATGGTAATTTTTTCTCATTTTCTCAAACTTGATTCTAATAATAGTGAATTGTAAAAATTGTTCTTTTAATTTTTTTATGTTTTCTCATTATTAATTTTTACTGAAATGTTTCAAAAGGAAGCTAATATGAATATATAATGGGCACATTTCTGTAATTGTAATTGTATATATATTTATATATATTTATGTATTTATATTGTTTATTAATATTTGTATACGTTCTGATATAAAACCTTTTTGTCGGGGTATGAGTTCTCTTTGTTGATAGTTTTTTTTGTAACTTTCTATTTATTTCTATTTTTTCCTCTTTTACAAAATTGTGGTAATCAATATCTGTCTTATTTTCACAAATTTTGTAGTAAAATGTGCCTTAGGCCTGATCAAGATCAAGGTTATTAGAAATTATTCTTATTTTCATTTTTGCACTAAAAATTCATTTTTACGTAAAATAAAAGGTACAACTTCCAATGGCTTTGATCTTGACAAATCCCTTTTAAGGGTGGTGCGGGTGATCTGAAATACCTGGTATATATGTCGCAGCCTTTTTACAAAATTAGCCTTTTCACGAAAAGGCTAGCCTTTACGCAAAACGGCGCCTTTTTACGAAATCAACGATCATTCCTCAATTAGGCTGACTTCAGGCTTTTCGCGAAAAGACTAACTCACATCAGCCTTACTGGTTAATGATACACGATCTGCAAAAAGGCTAATGAAACATCTAGTCTTTTTGCGTAAAACCTAAAATCATCTGTCTGTTTGACGAAAGTTGTTTTGGTTGTAATTCTCCAGAAGAACTTCCTCACCTCCGATTTCGATGAAATTAGACTCATTCGACCTATTTTTGCATAAAATGAGAGAATCTGGCAGAAAAAAGTCCGGGACTGCCCTGTGAATCGAGATATTGATCATTAAAGTTGACTAAAGTGTTATATGTAAGGCGTTGTCTACAATATGCGAAGTAAGCTTGGTTTAAGAAATAAGAGTAAGAAATTGACCAATCACAGTCGATTATTCTTTTCACAATCGACTGTGATTGGTCAATTTCTTACTCTTACTTCTTACTCCGTGTATTGTAGACGGGCCTCATAGGCTCGTCTACAATACACGGAGTAAGAAGTGAGAGTAAGAAATTGACCAATCACAGTCGATTATTCTTCTCACATTCGACTGTGATTGATCAATTTCTTACTCTTACTTCTTACTCCGTGTATTGTAGACGACGCCTTACACGATCATTAATCTATTATGTAACCAATGGAGTGTATAGACCAGTGCTTATTAGTTTGGGACAGCGTAACCGCCCCGAACAAAAAAAAATAACATCCTACCCGCTTGGAGCCTAACCACCTAGAAGTTGCAGCCTAGACAGTGTGCTTGGAATATTTCTAACCCATGAAGACAATGGAGTGTGAGAACAGTCTTTTCAGAGCGGTCTTTTTACCATCTAGGCTGCAATTTCTAGGCAGTTAGGCCCCAAGCCATAGATATCTAGATTGTTGACGCGAAAGAATGCGTCAACAAATCGCCACGTGAGAAAGTTCCGACGCATGCGCAATGAAAAAGCGCGTTTTGAATACGGGCCATTATATGTATACATTGTACTAGACTGCTAATATCTATTACTACAATAATTTTATTCCTAATTGAAAACAAAATGTTTTTTAAAAAATCAATTATGATTATTGGATTGTTTCACAATAATATTATACAAATTAAAAGTATGACTAAATTAGGCTAATATTAAATCTATATAATAATATTATATATATGTATAAAATTAACTTAGAAATTACCTGATTTACATAAACTTCAGCGATCGGTTTAGTTCTAATATTCTTGAGAGAGACTTTTATAATATATGTAAATAAAATATATATTTTTGTTTTTTTTAGGAATGTATATTGAGAAATTATATTTTAACAATTCGTTGTATTAATCCACGAAACTGTTTAGTGCGCATACGTCGGAACTTTCTCACTTAACATGGCGCGAGATGATACGAATGTGTGATGGGGGAAAGGATATCAGCAATCTAGATATCTATGTCCCAAGCAGATAGGGTGTTATTTTTTTTGTTCGGGGCGACGTAGTCAAATTTGCAACCGCATTCATGAGCGTGGCGCAACTTCGTTGCGCGTTCGCAGCTGAAAATCGTTAATCTTAATTTTAACGAGGAATTTGGAGATACGTTACATTGTGCTTTCAATAACTTTGCTTTTTCTATGCGTATTTTTTTGTGCATTTCCTGCCTTTTATATCTGCTATCCGTGTCTGTGATGTACTTGAATTTTATATTTGTGTGCTAATTTCTTCCCAAAATAAAAGTTTTAGTATCGCCTACATTACACATTACCCAAAGTATTCGCTCGATGGTTAAAACCTCTTGAATGTTATTCAGAATCATGACCTGGATAACATTCGTCAAGATCATTGGAGATTGTTTTTCTTATTTTCATTTATACGTATGTAAAAATTAATTTTCAGTGCAAAAATGAAAACAGGAACAACTTCCAATCGCTTTGATCTTAACAAATGTTATCTAGGGCGTAACCCTGAACAATATTCAAGAGATTTTGGTCGTCGGTCGGGCACCCTAGGTAATACTAATGATGGTGATACTATAACTTTTAAGCCACAACTCGAAAAATATTCAATAAAAATAAACTTTATTGCAACGTTTTAAAAAGCTCTTGACATTAGCTATTATTGTAGATTCTGGAATAAAAAATAGGGTGTTCTGTTTTAAAAAATCGATGTGACCTTGATCTGACTTTGGCGGCATCGTTCAAAGTCAAACTGATAAGATCATTAAATCCTGCAGTTTTTGTCTGAAACATTTCTTTCAAAAATGCTTAATTTCCGAAATATTAAGGGATTCCCACACATTTCGGACATTCTATATACGTGTGTATGTGCATTTGTTCTTAACATTCGTATTTTATATTTGTTTTATAGACAGAAGAATCTTTAACGGAACTACAAATGAGCATTCATCCCACTGCAACGGAAAAGATGTTCTCAGTCTTAAAACCGAATTTAAAAAATCTCAATGCACATACGGAACGGCGAGGCAAGTCAGAAATGTAAAAATCTATATGCTTTGAGTAATTGTAGGAACATATTTTGTGTGTAAAATATTAATTATCGAATTTATAAGCGTTTAGGAGCTATTATTATGTGTATGTATCGTTCCCATTATTATTATTTTAAGGTTCACGATTGTTTTCAATATATGTATAGAATAAATCAATTATAAGATACTCTATATGTTAAAGTTAATAACATAAATATTTACTGTATAGTTATATTGAATGTGTAAACATGATTTCTATTTAGGTATTGTGAATAATGTTATGGAACATAATAAGATGATTTTTAGAACAACCCTTTGTAAAAATGACATTCATTTTTTCTCAAATAATTTCTAATATAACATTTGCAGGATTAATCAATTAAAAGGGGATTTAAAAAGCCAATTAAGAGCCTACGCAGTTATGTTGATGCGCAAAATTATTTATTTATTCCTCGAAAATAATCCGCATACGTTTCAACCGACATTTTCGGTCCTTCTCAAGAATATGCGAAGACATTAATCTTCCGTTGGGCGCGGTGTATCAAATTAATCGCATTAACTATTTTGTTAAAATTATACTATAAAACTGAAACATTATATAAAATTGAAACATTAGTTTTCCTCTAAAAACCGCTATGCCGTGTATCACTCAGATCAGCCGCGCCTGACGGAAGGTTAAATTAAATAATAAATTATACATAATTTAAGATTTGGGTGAACTTCCGAAAACATCGTACCCCCGATTTTCATGAATTTTGACAGGAACACTCTAAGTGACGTCAAATGAATGCCCTTAAATGAATTTTCGGTAAAACTACAATAGGGGACCCCCCTCCTATGACCTTGACATATGTTGTTAAGGTCATAACCCTGAGTAACCTCTACCAAGTTTTAGCCGTCGCTCGTCCTTCGTTAAAAAATTATTAACAAAAGAAGTTTGAAAAATAACGTATTATTTTTGATATATATGCAATATTAAATACTATTCTACATAGGTTTTGACTTTCAGGGGCGCACGACTCTCA